TGTAAAAGCATTCATAAAGAAGGAGCTTTTTAACCATGAGCTATTACATAGAGTATAAATCAGATGGAAATGTGATTAAATATGTTCTGGTAAGTAAACATTTGTTTACTTTTAATGTATGTAGGATTTATTATTTTTTTTGTTTGTTTGTTTTTCAAAGAAGCCTTTTATGCTCACTATGGCTAAATTCATTAAAAAAGCAATATCATGAAATACTAAAACTGTAGTATTATGAAATATTATTAAAATAAAATTAATTCTATTTACCTCTAATACATTTTAGGTAGTAATTTATTTCTTTAATGGAAAAGCTGAACTGTAATTTTTTAAGGATTCTCTGATGAATAGAAAGTAAGAAAAAAAACAGTTTTGTAACAATATAAATGTCTTCACTGTCACTTTCGATCAATTTAATGCATCCTTGCATAATAAAAATATACCTTTTTCTTCAAATAAAATATTACTGTCACCAAACTTTAGTGTAATTTAAAAAGACAATAATAAAATGCTCTGGCTCTAAATTGTAATATACTCCACTCATTAGTGCGCATTAGTGGTGAGGATTCTTAGTGAATATTTCTGACTGCATTATTACACCAGTAACTAAGACAACTTGTCTTTATGAGTCAATCATTGAATCAATCACTCAATCCTATTGGTTCAAAACACAGATTGATTCAGGCAGAGAACAAATAGACAACTGTATTTTGGGGAATTATGCTGTCTCTCCAAGTAACCTTGTCGGTTTCTCTTCAAACAGATCAACTGCTCTTCATGTAGGACAGTGTTCATTGTTTACATCTATTAATTTTTTATTTTTTTTTTACTCTTGGTGTGACTCCTGCATGAACAGAAGCAGTGGGAAATGACAACATGAAAAGAGAAAGAAAGAGGGCGTAAAACAGAGATACCCACAGGAGAAGTCAGACCGAGGGGAGAGATGGGACACATTGTGATGGTTTTGACTGACATTGCACAGAGGACGTTTCTCTTCCCAACAGCAATGGTAAGCATTTCTTCATTAAGACTCCTACATGTGTCCCATAGCTGTAGCGTATTTAAATAAATATGCAAATGACAACATTTCTATTCAAAGGCTTCTTCTCACTTCAACAAGGTTTCTAAATAACCCAGGAGACACAATTCGTTCCATGTGAATAAAACCACCTGTCAGCAACTTGAAATTAACATGTAAAAATTGTTTGAAGTTCCCCACATATTTCAGATTTCTCTTCCTCAGATATGTGCCTGGCTTTAAAGGTTAACAAAATTATGTAATCAAAAAAGAAAAAGCAACGAGCCAGCAGAGCAGAAGGCTAATAAAGAAAGCGATGCTTTTTTATGCCAGTGCTCCGTTTATGTCCTCCAGCACCTTATTGACTCATTTCCCAACCAGGAGGATGGGATAATTTATCCATAAATAAATAAGATAGAGTCATGGCTCAATAAAACCACACAACACTTGTTCTCCAGAGGCCACAATTCAGGTACCCAAGCATTTCCTCTGATTGAATCAGTGCGCTTGGCCTTCTCTTTTGGTTCTAGAGACAAATGTTTCCACGTGAGCCTTAAAGGCATCATGTTATTTGTTTCGTTTCATTCACAAATCATAAGCAAACAAGATCCTGGAACGATTCCTGACGTCTAAAGGCATGTGCACGCCGTTTTTTTTGTACATCTCGATTGTTGTTTGTCAGACTGTATGCTGTGACCAAGGCCATCACTACAATTCATCGATGCTAGTAGGCTATACACTCTCAGAAAAGAAAAAAAAAGATATGTCACTCAGAACCCTTTCAAAATGTACTAATATGTACTTTTAAAGTACTAATTCTAAAAAATAAATAAATAAAGTACTAATTATAACTAATAACTAACTAATAAAGTAATCATCTTTTTATGTGTAATGCCTGCTTTATTTAAATGAATAATAATAATAATAATAGTAATACTAGTTTTTCATTGAATACTTATATTTTATTTCTGCTTTATATAAATGAACAAAAACAAATTGTAATAGTTTTTGTTAGCAATTTACAAACACTGCAATGAGCTTAAGTTATACTGAACTCAGAATATTCCTTTAACATTATATATCATTATATATATATAATATAATAATATATACCACTATATATCATTATATACAGATCAGAACAGGAGTGAGAAATGAAAAAGTGCATTTGTGATAAATCAACAAGCAAAACTATCAATCAAGTGTCTATCAATCAAAACGTCTGACTTGCTAATTTGTGCAGATGCATCTCATTCATTCCAAAGTAATTAATAGTTTAAATGGGGCTAAAATTATATTATCTAGCAGAGGAATAAGCAAGCATGTGTTATCAAAGATGTCTGCTTAGATTTAACTTAATCTGTCTCAGTAGGTAGTATGTCAGTACAACAAGGAGATTTTAAATTAAAATGCAAACAACACAACCATTACTTTACAGCTGATAAATAAAACTAAACAAAGAATAGAGGAGCTCTCACAAACAAAACTTCCACCACACTTTTCATCAACTAGGTCTGATTGATGCATATTTACCAGTAGGGGGGTTGAATGACCATTTTTCATAATTCATTTATATTGGAAAAACCAAGAAAAAAATATTTCAGAACAAATATTTTGTCAACATCTAAATCAATAGCACACCCCTCTTTGTTTTTGAAATCCTTGTTTTTGATTAAACAATGTCATAGATTCACATCTACGGCATGTCATATAATAAGCACACATGTGCACATTGTTCATGTGACCTTATATCATGGATCATAAAGACAGCATAAAAATAACTAGTCTGACCTCTGGTATTCTGTGTATGGGTTCACCAGAGCACATTGCATATATTCTCTCATTGCCAAACAAAACAGGTGCAAGGACAATAGTCCTGCTAAATAATTCATGCTCCCCTGAACCACCACAGAGTATTCGGCAACTTCACCATGCACTCGTTTCCTGCCAAGCGCTCTGACAATGGGCTTTGCTGAAGAGAAAACAGGCACGAAACATCTGCTAAGGCATCTGTTTGCAGGCCCCGTCGTGCCCTGACTCCGCGGCCTGCTGTAAGCCCACGCTATCACTCCAGTAATGACACGTCCCAGTGATCCTGCACTGCAGAGAGCCAGGGTCAGCCAGGGCTGCACTGAGGTCTTCTGTCATGGGCACCACTCTTAAATACAGTAGTTTTGGTTTCAGCACCACGGACAGCAGCACTGATGCACATACTGTACACGGCTGACTTTCAGCACTATGGACAGCAAACAATACATGCTTCAGACTTACATGATGCTATAGTCATCAGTAGATGCTTAAATACAGCACAACAGCAAATCAAATTTCTTTTAAACACTGTAGCACAAGGTGTTAGGGAAACATAGGGTGCTTCTCAAACTGAAGGCTGCCTCCTAGTCAGGATGCATCCTTCCTAGTCCAGTCCTTCTGAGGCTTCAAGGCTACACTGTTAAAATATTAAGCATAGTAATACAATTTCAAAAAAAGGAAAATATACTGGTAATATTTTACCAGGACATTATCCAGTAATTTTTCGGACATTTCATTTAACCCTAAAGCACAACGCAATGAAGTACACAATTCAAAATACAAGAAAAACACCTGCAAAAAAATAAATATGGAAAATTCCCTTCCTTTTAATAGAGTATTGTACCCTATTTTTACAGACTTTGTAGAGTCCCGCTCAGCATTAAACGCTACAATGAGATGGTCTAGTAAGTGCCCATGGATACAGTCATGGTAAGAAGAAAATACTATTCAAATTCTAATTTAACTAATATTTTATATGAAAAATATTTATATTAAGTGACTTTATTAATGTAGTAGAGGTAATGGCAACTGTCTATGATCTCCCAGGGGTTTACATTATGCACAATTTAGCATTACATAATTAATTTACAACAAAACAAAAGAAAACATAATGCCATCAGACTGTAAACATAATGAAAACATAATGCCATCATCTCCAAAATAATTTTTTGTCTTGCATTACATAACAAAATTGAATGAGCTCAGTGCTGATTTATTTTCAACCAATTATTTTTTCGAGAATTAGAAAGTCTGCAAAGGACTATGGATGATAAAAGGATGCAAAAGACACATCTTATGCATCCTGCAAAACAGGCTGAATGAAGGATGCGAAACCGAAGACTGCCTTCAAAGGATCCTTCAAATTGAGATGTCCTTGTGCAGTGCTGGTCTGGGGGGCCTTCAGGACATGTTTAAAAAACCCATGCTGTAGGACATTTGATTACAGAACCATAGACAGCAGCACACATACAGCTGAATCTCGGCACCATGGACAGCATACACTGTAGGTTTTATAATTGCATGATGCTACAGCAAATAGTAGATATTTAAATACAGCCAGCATAACTTCTTTAAACTGTAAGACATTTAATTTTAGCACCACGGACAGCTGCACACACATACAGTAGCTGACTTTCAGCACCATGGACAGAGCACAATATAGGTTTTAGACTTGCACGATGGAAAACTGCCATCAATGGATCCTTTTTTATTTTAATATGCATTCACTTTAAGTTAGTCTAGATTTCATAATGCAAGTTATGTTATTTTCTTTCATCATTAAAAATAATAGTCTGAAATGGAACGTGTTTAATAATTAGCGAAGAGGTAGTTTAAGTACGCAGGCATCATAGATGTCCAAAACCAGTAATTATCTTCCTCTCACTCACTGTTGCCTAATGTGACTTCTTTTTTGTTGTGAAAATTATCAGCATAATTGCAAGCATTTGCCTTGAAAGTAAAGCCAAACCATCTGAGACCTAAATATATGTTTTTTTTGTTTGTTTGTTTTATAATAATTATAATTACATTCATGTTCATCAAGTCATTGCAGCAACTCTTTTTATTTATTATTTTATTTTTCTTTTCTCAATATAGGGAGTTTTTGATGAAAGTATAAAATGTTAATACAATCTTAATAAGGCTACAGTGCCCTGGTGTAAGCGCAGACACTTACCAGTACTGGCGTCTTCTCGAAAAAACGGGTTCCCACCTGGGTTCAGGGTTACCCCAAATGTCTTATTCCCAAATGGGGCATCACATGGATCCACATAGAGAAGACAGCCACCAAACCCCACCTCTGCCAGGAGAGAGAGCTGTGAAAAGATGACAGAGATGAAATCTAAATACAAGATATACTACTGTTCAAAAGTTTGATGTCAGTAACATTTTTTTTTTAAAGTAGTCTCTTATGCTCAGCATTTATTGGATCAAAGCTACAAAACGTTTTTAGACAGACAGACAGACTGTGTGAGTATCTGAGTGTGTTTGGCATAACAGCCGAGAGCCCTGGGCAGCTCTTCTCAGGAGAGCTCCCAACAGCTCTGCCAAATTAGCCAAACCACCAGAGGCGTCATGCCCGTGCCCCCTCAGATTTTTGAGCCAAGCGGATTTTGAATGCAGCTTTCAAAAGACAAAAAATAGCCAAACAATATTTTTTTTATATTTCATACACTCACACTGGCATTATTAGAACGTGCAGTGCGGCACAGCATCGGCTGCTAAATTCAAATCAGCGTTCGCGCTTTGGCTGGCGCTGAGCCAGAGACAGACGCGTTTTTACAGCTGCACATTGTAACAAAACACACACGATTCTGTTAAGCTTATGAATGCAATGACCAATCAGAGGCGTTCAGATGAGTCATTGCGGAAATGTTTTATTCAGTGCACGCGTTCGCTGAATGAATTCTGCTCTCTGATGATTCTCTCATCAGAAACAACAAAGTGCAGATATACATACGATGTAAGTATATTTATTTCACAGTGTAAACAGCTTCAGTGATTATAATGATTATTGATTACAGTGATTATTTTTGATAGTGCTTAAAATGTTCTTTGCTTTCTGTACAATAAAAGTGTTATAATTAGTAAATTACAATGTTTCAAATTAATTCACATTAAATACAAAGTCAGTCATATTAAAAATATTTTATGGCATGACACCCATATCTGGTAGGCTACTTAATTAAAAAGACGGGTTTTTATGCGTAGTTAATAGATTACACTATTAGGCTACTTTGCCCATTGGCCATTATCAACTAACATAATAAATAAAGGTGCAAAATGCATCTACTTTCACATATTTGAGAATCGAGATATTTCATGTTATAATTAACACTTTTGGGAATATTTTGAATAAAAAGGTAAAAATAAATAAAACATAAGCCTAGATCAGTTATACTTATATACACTTATAAGTTATACTTATATATATATATATATATATATATATATATCTATCACAGCAACTTAACTTGTCATGGATGGAGGAAAATTAATGTCTCTTTTATATATTTACAAAAACCACAATATATCACTATATACTTCAGTGTACTTGGTGTTTCATAGACAGATTTTTTCTTTCTTTTTTTTTTTCTGTGATGCTTGTGTATCCACTGTTAGCAGACAAATGAAATAAACAAGCAAGAGTGAAAAGTGTGTCTAAAGAGAGTTTATTTTCCAAAAGTCCACAGGGCCGAAAGTACCCATAGCTGAAAAAACACCCACATAGAAATCAATGATCTCAAAGTAGAGCAAATAATTCCCAACTTGACTGAATTTGAACTACACACTCACTTCTCCAGGGGTAAAGAATAAGGATGTTGCCGCCTTACATGGCAGTAGACATTTATATCATCTGAGTCACTGTTCAAAGGTCCCTGTTTGCCTTGAACATCTAGTCGACAATCTTGCTGCGACCACTAATGGCAGCGTATACCATATGCACAGCGGCACATAATTTATGCTGATGGTGCCAGTCATGTCAGCAGTTAGACTGTGTGTCAAACAGATGGGCACATTTGGTGTGAAGGCAAATGCACCACTGGGTGTTGTGCAAATGAAACTCCCTAGCACCTGACATCCATATGAGAAGCCAACCAGAAGCCGCTCCCCATGCACAATAAAGATAAACAGGCTTGTAATAGGCTTGGAAATATTTTTCTTTTCAATACGGGAGTTGTTCACAGATAGCAATCAACACCTTGTAGGTATTTCGGTTGCTTGGGAGCGTCAGCCGGTGTTGCCACCGTGGATCAAGCCTCTTGCTAAATGCCAACAAGAGCCAACAACTTGTCCTTCAACGGGAATACAAAGGAGCACAACTAAACACACAGCTCTTGACATTTACTTACAGTCTCCAATACACACGCCGGCTCATAGAGGATGAGAGGAAATGCATCGCTTAGCCAATAATCTTCCTGCTACTAATTTTTAAATTACTTTTGTAGGAGTGCCGTTATTAAATGCACTGACATTAAATCTGCTCATGTTCATTTGTTCCATTATTGCTCTTCACAAATTTCATATGAAAATTAATCATTAATTACTTCAACCGAAACGAATTCTTAGAGATACTAAAAATCACATACAATAACGAATGGGATTTTTCTAACTTTTAAAGAACTAAAAGTTGAACAGCTACTACAATTTTCTAAGCATGACAGTAGTCTATTATAAAAAAAAAAAAAAATAATAATATATATATATACACATTTTTTGTTGCACAATTTATTGTTTAAAGCTGTTGGCCTATTTGGGATTTTTCATTCACTCAAAAACCCGCATTTTTGTGTGCCAGAAAAGAGCTTGTCCTACATATATCTACATGTACTTTCCAACCTTCCTTCAAGAGCTAATTTTGAGGGTGACATTAGCGTTATTTCAGAAAAAGACATTCTGTTCATATCTGTTGATTTGCTCAGGGGAGACATTTACAAAACTACAGTAAATGTGTATACTCCTAAAATATTTTCCATTTCAGCACCTTCAGGGCAGGACAGGAACTGTCGTGCACCCTAGGGAAATCTGCTGTGGAAAGTAAGGAAAACAGAAAAGCAAATAGAATGACACCAACAGAACTGAGACAGCCACTTTGGAAAAAACTGTTCTCTGCTACATGTACCCTTGTTCATTATATTACGTTAATGACACACATACACTATCATTCAAAGAGAACAGTCTATTTAGATGCTACCCATGATTTTGAGACTATATTCTAAGGTTAAGGCTTGAATTGAATATTAAAAGGCTTTTGGAGTTACCTGAAATATTGTTATACTACGCTGTTTGTTATGAATGTTGCTTGCTGCCAAGCATAACATCATAAGCCATGACTCTTGTTTTACTGTGAAGAGAGAGACACAAAAAAAGCCCATACACCTTTTAAAAAACCTATAAAAGTGTTTCTACCAAAACCGAGATGAATGCTGCAAGTCAAATTTGCTTTATTATCTTCATTTGGACTGTGTGAGACCGAGCCATGCCAGCACAGGAATGTGCATGGCGACAGAGATGGTAGATTAAGGTCTCGGATCAAGAGTACCATCATTCTCTGGGCTAATTGTCTGAGAAGGAGCAGTCAAAATGCTTGATCCTCGCAGACTGAGCATAAGCACTCACTTTAAAGAAAATCAATAACTTTTCCCAAACAAATGACACTGAGTGCCTGGTAATGAGGGCTGAGGGCTAGAATTCCAATCAAGAGCCTAGTGCTCCCAAAGGTCACTATTACCTGCATCAGTCATAACAATGGAATATATGCTGATGAAATGCACATGTGCAAACTCAGAGACAATTTCGGTCAAAACTCAATGAGTATTATTGCAGAGAAAAAAGAAAAGTTTTTACGTTTTCTTTTGTGTTCCACAGACAAATTAGTTAAAAGGTTTTAACAAAATGAAAAGTTTTCTCTGTTACAGCCTTGCATTACATAATTTCTGTTTCTTTTCAGGAACTCTTTCATGAATTTTGTTGTTTAATTATATGGTCTGTAGGAGATAAGATATTGTAGCTAGTACTTTTCTGATGACCCAGTCATGGACACTTAAAGTATTGCATTTCTACACTAACAGAAGTCAACAGGAAATTACTGATGTAATATCAAAAGGCTTTTATCTGATTTCTGCTTCTAAATGTTCTTATTTGTGCATCCTTGAAGATGGAAGGCACATTTGTGAGTGATATTGTAGTGCTAGTTTTACTTGATCTTAGTGCTGCGTTCGACACAATAGATCATGACATACTCATAGATTGATTACAAAACTATACAGGTATTCAAGGGCAGGCTTTAAGATGGTTTAGATCCTACCTGTCCGATCGCTACCACTTTGTTTATTTAAATGGGGAGTCATCTCAATTATCACCAGTAAAATATGGAGTGCCACAAGGATCTGTCCTAGGTCCTCTGCTATTTTCGATATACATGTTGCCCCTTGGTAATATTATTAGAAAATACGTGATTAGTTTCCACTGTTATGCTGATGATACTCAACTATATATCTCAACAAGACCAGATGAAACTTCTAAATTATCTAAGCTAACAGAATGTGTTAAAAATTTAAAAGATTGGATGACCAATAATTTTCTCCTATTAAATTTGGATAAGAGACAGATATTACTTATTGGACCAAAAAACAGTACACATAATCTCTTGGATTACAATTTGCAACTAGACGGATGTACGGTTACTTCCTCTACAGTCAAAAATCTGGGTGTTATATTTGACAGCAACTTGTCTTTTGATAATCATATTTCCCATGTTACAAATCAGCATTCTTCCATTTTAGAAACATTGCCAAGCTACGAAACATGTTACCTGTTTCTGATGCAGAAAAGCTAGTTCATGCATTCATGACCTCTAGACTGGACTATTGTAATGCACTGCTAGGTGGTTGTCCTGCATCTTCAATAAACAAGCTACAGGTAGTCCAAAATGCAGCGGCTAGAGTCCTTACCAGGTCAAGAAAAAATTATCATATTACCCCATTTTTACAGTCTCTGCACTGGCTACCTATTAAGTTCCGTATCAGTATTTCTGCCATATGTACATAAACTGACAGTCACCACTGATAAGCTACTACTAAATATTGTAGAAACTTAATTTTCTGTAAAGTTGCTTTGCAACGATTTGTATCGTAAAAAGCGCTATACAAAAACTTGAATTGAATTGAATATTGAGTACAGCAGCAATGTGAAGACACTGTCCCATATCTTACTGTGAAGTAATCACAAAGCTACTGAATAGCTGAACTCATATGAAATATGAAAACATGCTTCTACATTATAACCCATCTAGCTTTATTTAATGATTTATTTATCATTTAGTAAAAGACATCCATTTCTTTGAGATTAAAAATAATACATGCATGTTAAAGATGTTAGAAGGCACATGTAACCTCTCTAATACTGAAGTACTACTTTTTTTTTTTTTTTTGGTGGTGCTACCCTATGAAAGTAGCCTCTCTCCCATAATCTGACTGTCATCATTTACATTTATTAATTTGGCTGAAATCCACAACATTATCGATTATGTAAACGGAATAATTATCCCCAAAAATAAAATTTGCTGAACATATACTCAACCTAAGGCCATCCAATATGTAGATGAATTTGTTTCATCATCACAACAGATTAAAAAAAAATTGCATTGCTCACCAACGGATCCTCTGCAGCGAATGGGTGCCATCATAATGAGGTTCCAAATATTGTGTATATTGTGCATATTTCTCTCCTGATTCAGATGAGAAGACTTTTTCCACTGGATAAAGCAATATTTTCAAGGCGCTAACTGATTAACCGAAACCGTGTGAATTACTTGTGGATTATTGTGAAATTTTTATCAGTTTTTTATACTCCCATTCTGACAGCACCCATTCAACGCAGAGGATCCATTGGTGAACAAGTAATTTCTCACTATAATTTCTCAAAGTTTCTTTGAAGTTTCTCAAAATCATTTCTGATGAACAAACAAACTCATCATCATATTGCATGGCCTGAGGGTGAGTACATTTTCCTTAAAAAAAAAAAGAGAAGCCTGTTCTGAATAATAAAAAAAAAACGATAAAAACTGCATGTGTTGTTATAGTTTTCACAGTTTTTTTGCTGAATAATCAAAAAGATACACTCTTCTTTGAATAAAATATCCCAAAATAAATAAATACATAAAAAGTGATACTGCTTTGCAGGAGCAATACGAAAATAAGTGTTTGCACAAAGTGAAATTATTGTCATTTACTCACCCTCATGGCAGTCCAAACCCATATGACTTTATTATATGACACATTTACGATACCTACTTTGAGAACCCCTGCTCGAATGCGCAGTAATCATGTATTAGGTTTGAAAATGATTCAAACATTCTAGAGATACTATGAAAAACAAAGACAACAAAACCAACAGGTGTCTTTCCTCAAATCACCAAATTATAGGATATCAACTGTGCTTTACCCACTAATAAATACCAATTACAATGATCATATTACTCTAATGAAAATATTACTCTAATGGCACAAAGACCTAAGTCTGAAGTAATTATCTTGATCAAGGTTTTCAGAGATGGTTTACATCGGTAAAATATATGACTTGAGCTGTACAATAATTGTTATGCATTAATCACATATAATGATTTCCCAAACAGCTGCCAGTGATTTAATTAGATGAAATAACTTGCTTAAAACTCTTGTCATGATTAAATGCAACTTTAATAATCACGGTTATTTGTTGGTCTAATGAGACTCTTTGAAGGGATTAAATGCATCCACTTACAATTTTGATTGTATTAATCATTTAAGTTAATTTCTTTGTCCTTAACAGTTCAGTGATTCTTTTGTCAGATAGATATATAGTAGAGCTGGGTAAAAAATATCGATATCTCGATATTAATCGATTCTCATTTTTACGGAACGATATTGATTCTTAAATTCCAAGAATTGATTAGTCTAGCCTGTTTTCAGTTAATGGACGGAACACTGAAGGGCACTTCCCATCCAATAAATCGCAATAAGCATTGTGCTTTGGTACTTTTAATATGAAACAAAGTCTCAGATTTCAAATTCTCTGTAGAGAGGGGCATTTTGCTAAATCTATGCACCATATAACATATTCATTATACATTTTACTGTTCTTCGAAGTTTAATTTATGTTTGAATAAATCCATCAAGTTTTTATGACAGCCACCATTGTTTATATTAAAAAAAAAATGAATGGAAGTAGAAATATTATTATGTAATTGAAACTTTATTATTTTAAAACTTCATTAAAGGCAGGGTATGTGATTTTTCAAAAACACTTTAGAAAACTGATTCAGGCCG